ACATGGTATATCGCACTTTTGTCCTTCATATATGTCATTTCCTTCACTTCCCCTGCCTTTACAAACATTGAATTACCTGCAACATCAAGAAACATTCCTGATCAAATAAAGTTGGTGTACTGTACTTTATACCATGCTCTAACTTGTATACCTTGAGGTATTAAAATTTATTTTCATCTCATTCTCTTGATTGAAAACTCATGGCATGCCTATAGTCCCAGCACTCTGGAAGAATGAGACAGAAGGATCACAAATTCCAGTTCAAACTTAGCAATTTAGCAAGATCTGTCTCAAAAAAAAAAAAAAAAAAAAAAAGAAAGAAAGAAAGAAAGAAAAGAAAATCAATGGGAGGAGAGGGGCTGTAGAGAAGGTAAGTAGGCACAGAGGTCCTGGACACACACACACACACACAGTCTCTTCAAGGATACAGTAACATCCCTGGGATCTTAGTAATTCATGTAGCTTATACAGTTTAACTTATATAGTTAATAATAAATAAATATCCAGTGGATGAGCCACAAAGATGGATTTGGGATCCTAGGGCAGCTCTTTGGTTGCACTAACCCTTTAAAGCTGGATGACCATGTAAAAATTTGTGTGTGTGTGTGCCAGGAATCAAACTCAAGAACTTTTACTTGCCAGGCAGGTGATATAAAATTTTGATACTCTAAAAAAAAAGCAATAATCCACTTTGGAAGAATTTTTATATCTGTTCAGCTTTTCATTTTAAATAAATTTTAAAAAATGGTTTATACCACTACTTTTGTGTCCCCAAACTTAAACCTAACAGTTCCATTATTTCATTCCATCAAAAGCAAAAACATTGAAATAGCCTCTGTTTTGTTTAGTTTTTTTAATAGTTCGTTTTTTCAGATTTAGTTTAGGTAGAATATCTATTTTTATTCATAAACATTGGATACACTCAAATTTGTAGCATAGCAAATCTTAACATTTTGGCTTTAAATATTTTTCTTTAAATATTTTTATTTTCTGGCTTTTTAGGTTGGTTGTTTTGTTTTAGTTTCTCAGTGGATGCCAGTCTCTATGAAAATGTGTAAAGTCGAATTTGTAAACTGTAAAGCACTATTCAGATAAGATGGATTGTTATAATTTTTATCATCACTTTATACTCTTGATTGCAGAATATTCACAATATTATTGATGATGAGAGTAATTTCACTCAGTATTTCCTTTTTTCTAGCAGTTGTCAGAATTCAGAAATCTTAAAATGTTTGGTGTAAGTTTTCGTGTGATCAGCAAAACACATCTTTCATGCTGCATAGTAATTTATGTTTAGGTTACTACCCTAAAAACAGGAAAAGACTTTTTCTCAAGATGAATGTGTTCATCCTGATGTCAATAATCTTACGTATGAACTATCATCATTAATTAAAGTAGTACAAAACCATTGATCAATCCAAATATAGTTTTTTAAAGATTTGAGTTTTGAAATATATGAAGTGTTAATAAGGGAGCTAAATTTTTAACTATAACAATACCATCTTGATTTCACATACTGCTCGGATGCTTATGTTAGATTTGGGTAAAGTGAATTTATGATAAGAATACCAGAAATGGCAAAAAAAAAAAAAACAAAAAAAACCAAAAAAAAACAACAACAACAACCAGAAATGCCAAGGAAGGCTGTATTTCAGAATGTGCCTTTAGGAATTAAATTTCGTTACATTTCATCTTGAATCAATGGGAGTATTTTGCTTTCTTTGTTTTCAGGTCAGCTTTAAAGTAATGAGCTTACAAAGCTGTTAACATTTTCACCAGAAAATAACTGTTCTATGAGAAACATGTCATCCTTAAATGTGACAGACATATCTTATAATGTGCAAGAGCAAACTTGCATTTTAGTCTTAAAAACCAGTCTTCAGTGAATTCATTCAGCACAAAATCAATCTCAGCCTAATCATGCAAACTGTGCAAGGTTTGACCTGACCATAGTCCATTTTTCCAGGAAACACAGCACCATTGTTATGTACATAAACCATATTCTCATCTTCTTGTATAGTACTTAGTATATCCTGACACATTCTTCTGTATTCTTCAAAGAGAAATTCTTTAATTGTTCTATTTCTACTGTCTCATCATATTTTCTTATTACATGCAGTGAAGCACTTTATTCTTTTAAGGACATCAGTTCAAAGTGTACAGTGACTTCTGATTTATACCATCAACACGAGGCTTATTCCTGATAGTTTTCATGAAACCACCAGTTGTCACTCTCCTTAGTGGTAGAACATGCTTCACTTTGAAATTTTTCAGCCTTCTGTATTAGTCAGTGTTCCTGTCACTGGAACAAAAACACTTGCCATCTATAATTTAAAAAGGGAAGATATTTATTTTGGCTCATAGGTTGTTTTTTTCTCCATGGCCATCTAGCTCCAAGGTAGAAATGTCATAGTGGAAGTGACTGGCAGAAACCTATTCATGTATGGTAGCCGGGAAGTAGAGAAAGAAGAGAGGAGCCAGAGAAAAAAATATACCCTTCCAAGTCAGGTCCTCAGAGACACCCCTCTTCCAACTAGGCCCTACCTTAAATATGAACTTTGAGAGGACATTTTGTATGTGAATCATGAAATTCTATTGTTGTTCCCTAAAAGGTTCACGAAACTCATTAGGCAGAATGCATTTAGTCTATCTCTAAGTCACCAAAGTCCCAATAGTTTGGCATTGCTGAAAAGTCTTAATTCTAAAGTCTCCTCTGAGACTTAAGACATAGTCTTAGCTGTGACTCATTTAAAAATCAAAAAGAAATATAAATACTTCCAATATACAATGACACAGGGTAATAGTCCTATTCCAAAAGTTTTGAAATAAAAAAGGGAAATAAAAAAGAATCAGGGCAAAGCAAGACAAGCAAGGGTAAATTTTAAATCCTGCATGTTCAGCATTCTGGGCAGATTGTGATGAGATGTCAGCTGCAAAGGACTTGGCTAACCCCATCCCTGTAACATTGCCAGTCTCAGCCCAGAAGACCTCTCTTTTGGGCTGGCTGTGCTCATTGCCTGTGTCTTTCCATAGCAGATGATTCACATTTCTGGTATCTCCAACTTCCTCAAGCCTCTACTGTCATTATGACTTCACTCTCATAATTTCATGGACTTCTCTCTCAAGAGCACACTGCCTGGCCTCCTCAGCCTTTTTGTAAAATGTGGGTGGAAACCTCTGTGACCCCACAACTCTTGCATTTGCACATCTAGAAAATCATCACCCGGAACTGGGGGTTTAGCTCCAGTGGCATAAACCCATGCCTTGCAAGTGCGGGGTCATGAGTTCAATCCCTGGTTCCAATAAAAAGGAAAAAGACGAAAGAAAAAGAAAATCATCACCATATAAATGACCCAGGCATTTGCTGCCATTGAGAACAATGGCTGTGTCTCCTTAGGCCATGACTGCAGCAGCCCTTTAGTACCTGGATCATGAAACATCAGGAAATATTTCCTTAGACAATCCTGAATGAGCTAGGCTTCCTGGGACTTTCTTCTAAAAGTAATGTATTTTAAAATTGTTTTCCTGAAGAGTGAGGTCTGGCCAATCCCTGAAATGCCCTCAAGCTAGCTTTCTTTCCCTTTCCCTTTCCCTTTCCCTTTCCCTTTCCCTTTCCCTTTCCCTTTCGCTTTTCTTTCTTTTCTTTTTTCTCTCCTTCCCTTTCTCCTCCTCCTCCTTCTCTGCCTTTCTTTGCTTTTTTTTTGAACTCACGACCATGTGCTTGCCACGCAGGCACTTATGCCGCTGAGATAAATCCTAGGCCCCCACTTCTTTCTGATGCTAGTCTTTTTATTTTGACTCTGTCTTTTGCTTATGATTTTTACTGTAAATCTAGCTAAAAGGAACTAGCAGTGCCCATGCCAAGCCTGAATATTGGGTTTCTTTGAAATTTTTCATCTGCCCCATCAGTCTACTATTATGATCTGCATCTTCCCGAAAGCCTCAGATCATAGGCAAAATACAGACAGATTTTCTGCCTCAGTGTTAACTGTGCATGGTACATAATCCACCTGCCAATAGGTTCCTCACTGCCAACTGAAGCTTCCTGAATCTGGTCTATACTGTCTGCATTCCTATCAGCATCTGATCTTGTGAGTTCTGACCAGTATCATATATCAAGTACTGCTCACAACATTCTAGGACAATAATTGTGAACCTGTGGCTTGTGTGGTACAGTGGACACACAGACCCCTTTTTATTGGTATGCAAGCCAAGTTACCGCAGTAGCTAAGCACCAGATAAAAGTTGTTTTTTTTTTTTTAAACTAAAACCTCAGTATTCAGGTTTAATTAGAGTATTGTCACTTTGCAATAAATAAGTAGGCTTGAGGTTACAGTTAGGCCCTTGGACCCCAAAAGATTTGTCACTACTGTTCTAGAGCTTCTCTTACTTGCATCTCCAAACCTTTCCAAACTCCTCATACAAACCAGTTCCAAAAGCATCTGAATCACAACAGTTACTTCACTCTTGAGACCAATTTTCTGTTTTACTTGTTGCATTGCTGGGACAAAATACACAATGCCCACAATTTAAAAGGAGGAGAGGTTTATGTTGGCTCATGGTTCCAGCCTATGGTCAGTGGGCTTCAAGGCAGAAGCAATGTGGTAGAAGAGCCATGCATCATAGTGCACAGGAAGCCACTATGGAGAAAGGAGGAGCCACAAGAATGCACCCTTCCAAGTCACATTGCCAGTGCCCGTCCTTTCCAACCAGTCCCTACCTCCCGTGTAAGGTTTTTACAAGACATTTTAGATGTAATCCATAATACTGTATCCACGTGGTTGAGTGCCTTTTCTTGATTATAGAAAGCACAAAATGAATACACCTGAACACAGTTTCAGAAGTGTGATCCTTAAACAGTTCGTGTGAACTCCTGTGATAACTTGATATTACTGTAGTTGGTCATGATTAATCTTTTTTGGAGAAATCTAAACTTTTTCTATCTAAGTTTTTCTTTAAAAAAACAATCAGCAATAGTTACTCTGTTCTTTGTCTTGCAGGTACTATAGTGCAACCATCCTACAGATGTCTGGTGTGGAAGATGACAGACTGGCGATATGGTTGGCTTCAGTGACAGCTTTCACAAACTTCATTTTCACACTTGTGGGAGTGTGGCTTGTTGAGAAAGTGGGCCGTAGAAAACTTACCTTTGGTAGTTTAGCAGGTAGGTACATGGATGAAGAATTCACTTTTAAATTTTTTCCTAATGATGACAGTTGACCTTCCAAGATGGATACATTTTCTGTTACTGGTTTCTTAACCAAACAGTATAAAATGAGAGTGATAGAGACAAAACATTTTAATTGAAAAGCATGACCCTTACAAATTTATGGTATGTGACTAGAAGTTAGATTGTAAGTAAAAATGAATTGTAAGAAAACATCTGAAGCCAGGCGTGATAGCGCGCAGCTGTAATCCCAGCACCTAGAGGCTAACGCAGGAGGATCACTGTGAATTCAAAGCCAGGATGGGCTACGTAAACCAGTTCAAGACCAGGATGGACTGCATAAGCCAGTTCCAAGGCCAGTCCGTACTACATAGTAAGATTCTGTCTCAAAAAAAAAAGGGATCTAATTAGAGATTTTTCTTTTTGTATTTTTGAGTTTCCCTGAGGAATAAAAATGAAAAGAGTAATCATATCTATATGTCTTTGAAAAACTTGGTATTAGCTCACATTTTAACATGTGTTTTAAAATATGTTTAAACTTGGAAGGATGTAACAGATTTGGAGCATTTTTTTCCATATCTCTTCTAACAGTGGAATATTAGAACCATGCAGTTGTTTTCACAGAGTAAGGGTGATACTCTTAATGTTTAAAACAACCCTAAATTATAGATCAAATTTTGATTGGTTGAGTGTTATATATGATAGCTGAGTACAAAACTTTTTGGGCTTTCAGGTATCTTTTGTGTTTATTATTTTATTCATTATTTCTCTGTAACACAAAGACTGTTTTATTTCACAGACTACAACTCTTTGATATTGATTGCATTTTATAATTTTCAAAGTTTTTCAAATGTATAGGTATATGCCTGCTTATCAATTAGCTGTACTCTAATAGTGCCTTGGTAAACATATTTTGACTTAAAATATTTTTCCATTAAAGTGTAGTTTCCATGACAGCATTAACTAAATTCTGTTTTAACCAAATCAAATCATATCTAAAATGATCATGTCATAGTGCTGTTGTAGTCACATGTCCCAGATTTTGATGAGAAAATACACTCTGGGTGCCAAATTCAATTTACTATGAATGCATGCCTTCCCTTTACAAGTAGTAGAATTCTTCCACCTCCTGTTTTCACCTGAGCAGTGCCAGTCTAATGATATGAGTTGAAACAAAGTGTGTGCATTGAGGCAAAGGTGAGAAATGGGTAAGGAGCAATGGTGATTGGCATCACCAGGTGTGCAGGGAGGATGAGGGTAAATGAAGAAGAGTAGGGGAGAAGAAAAGGTTTACAAGCCATAGATTTATAAATCTGGTGAAGAAAGCAAAGACAAGGTTAGCTTACAGGAAAAACTAAACAGAAGCCAAGTAGATACAAAAGATAGTAGATGCTCTCTGTGAGTACAGACTCTTAGTTAATATAAGAAAAATATTCTGAGTAACCAGTGCTATCCTGCAGTGAGGCCTTAGGCAGATAACAAAAGGACAGACTACCATCAGGAATGCTGTGTTTCAAATACATTCCTACAGTATGCTAGAAATTGAATTTGCTGACCCCTGTGGTTCTGGTTAGCACTAGAAAGAGATAATAATTGCTTTCCAATTTTTAAATGGATATTTTTCCTTTTTAACATACATTGCTACCTTCAGAGGACTATTTTTAAATAGAATTTAGTACTTAAATTTATGATTTGGCTTTTGAGATTTAAGGAAAACTGTTGATTAAACATTTTTTTCTAGCAGCCTGTGCCTCTTAATTGTCATACTCCGGTAAGACACTTTCTTAGCAGTTCTGCAGAATTTTTGAGGCATTATTGATAGAGAGCCAGACAGTTTTTGAGTCTGAATTGTGTGACTGGGCAAAGTTCCATTTTCTGACCTATACCTGAGGATTAATTACCATCTCTATACTGTTGTAATGAGAATGTAACACTATTACGTATAGCATTTAAGATCCTGCACACCATACATAGAGCATTTAGCTACGCAGCATTATTGTTGCTAAAGAGTGAGCTTGTTGTTTTAGCCACCCTGCAAAATTAGCCTCCCTCACTGGAACCCAAGCTTTCTCCTGAGCTATTCTAGTTGACATTGTGTTTCATCTCCCTGCAGCTGTTTTGCAGAGGCATTCAGTACCCTGCTGCTGACTATTAACTGATGAACAGTGTAGCCAGAGAGTGAAGTTCACCAGATGTTTGTTTAAGCATTGACTTAACAAACATGCCTCAGGCAGGTGTCATTTCAACCAGTCAGTTCTCATATTGAATAAATTTGATAAGATTGTTGTTTTTATATTTTCTATTATAGTCTTACAAAAATTAATGAAAATGCAATTTATGGTCACCCTGTATTTAAATAATTGGACTGGTAAGTGGTTAAGAAGTCCTAAGGCAACTATGTAGAAAGGAAGACCAACAGATTTCAGGGCCTGCTTTTCATGAGCAACCTGCAGGCTTTTTTTTCCTCCCTTTTTTCAGCCAAATCCTCTTTCAGCTAAAATACTTTGTGATCTCTCACACTCACTGTATAGACCCCTGATCTCTTGTCATGTATCCCATTGAAGTGAGGGAATGGATAGTGGAATGGTTTAGAAGGAAAGAAGTCTGGCTTCTTATCACACCCATGATAAGAATACATAAATCAGTATTTATGACTATAAGTAGTGGTTTTTGTGCAGTTTTTGTTTTAACTGTGATTCACTGGGCCCACAGGAAGACACTGACCAATGGAAATGTGTGTCTTCAGAAGAAGCCTTAGCATTGCACAGCTGTATTAGTGTGTTAGCGTTTTTCCAGCATGACCCTCGCAATAATGAGGCTTTCACACTCAAATACCAGTTGATTGCGTGTGTTTTAATTCACCATATTTTTTATTTTATTCATTTGTATGTAAGTAATGTGTGATATTCTAGAGTACTAACAGTGTTCTAGTTTAAATTTTTATTAAATATTAGAATTTTTAAACATTTGATTCAGTCATCCCTATTTATGATTTATTTATATTGGGTTAAAAAAGGTGAAAAATCTAATATCAGAGTAATTTGTGAAGCCAGGAGTGGTGGGAGATGACTTTAATCTCAGCACTTGGAAGGCTGAGGCAGGAGGATCACCATGAACTTGAAGCTAGCCTGGGCTGTATAGCGAGTTAAAGGCCAGCAAGAACTACATAATGAGACCTTGTCTCCAAAATAATAATAATAATAATTAATAATAATAATGATAATTTTGGAACAGTTTCCATTCTTTCAAGAATTATTACAAACAAACTATGTTTAAGCGTGGACAAAGAAACTCTGCAGAGAAGTATAAAATGGGTCACATGTGAATAATTTTAAATGTGTGAAATTTTGTCATGCCCTCATTTTTAATATTTTCAAAATTATAAAACTGGTCTTTTAGGGCCAGAGATTTAGCTCAGTGGCATAAGCCCCTGCCTGACAAGCACAAGCAAAAAAGAGAAAGAAAACAAACTAGTCTTTTTGTAAATACTACAATTTTAATAACTTCTTGTTTCTTTACATAATGAGAAATTCATATAGCTATTTTGGTAATAAATCTAGGCAGAAATATCATATCTTATTCTACCATATGTATTGATAGTGGTATTTCTAGAAACATTACTTGTGGCCCATCTATGTCAGAACTACCAAGGCGACTTTCAAATGTGGATTCTTGGGCCCTATCTTGGATCCACCACGTTAGAATCCCTGAAGGTGGAGTCTAGATCATGTACATTTAAACAAGTTCCTCTGGTGATGCTTAGTCATACATTGTAAGAGCTCAGGAAGGGGAGTTTTCTTTTCTTTTCTTTCTTTCTTTCTTTCTTTCTTTCTTTCTTTCTTTCTTTCTTTTTTTTTGGAGTACTTACTAAAAATTGGATAATGAATGTAACATTACATCAGATATTTTTGGAGGCAGCATTGTTCTTAATACACTTCATTTCTTGTGGAGACCCTCTTTATTAAAAAATAGTTGTCAAAATTCCAAACTCCACCAGTGCACTTGTTTGGGACTGGTTGCCTGAAATAGAAAGAATGTCCCAAAACTGATGAGTACACTGAAGAAAATCTTTTCATCCAAAGCTTTCTTGTATTGAGTCTCAAACTTAGGTTATAATGATGAATCATTTGACATAGCTATAGTCATTTTCAGTGCTAACTATCATTGATAAAAGACATCTAAAAATTGTTAAATGAAATGGCAAAAGTACCTCGGGTAGTTTTATGGTATATGAGTCAATAAAAGGATTAGATGATCTTTTTAAAATTTGTTCCATGAATAAAGTTCCATGAATGAAGTTACTCTTCAATGGATCTGTTCTGTTCAAAGGCTTTTTGTCTTGTCTGAACCTCATAATCACCTGCGAAGCAGTTTGAAGGCTCAGATTCAGGGTCAGGATGCACCCCCAGACAGAGCTCATACTTACCCATGACCTCGGACTCCTCGGCGCCTCGGCTTTGTTGTGTTTAACATGATGCATCTCAGCGGAGGCCTCGGCCATTGCAGCATCTTATTGTTCCTGCACGGGGCTCCCCACATTTATCACTATTATTTTAATTTTGACTACTATTTACATGCCCTCCTAAGTTCCTTATTTTAAACATATTGTGATAAATTGTACAAATTAGTGCAGTCATTGCTCCTTTCTTCTTACAATTCTGTGGGTAGACCAATAATCAGGAATTTGAAAACTTTCTTATTTACCATCTGGGTATATCAGGGATTCAAAATTGGGCCTTCTGAGCAAAAAGCGTAATCACCAATCCTAGTCCTTCAAATCAAAGTAAATATTGTATTCTAAAATACCAAAAGGAAAGAAATAAGCAAAGGCATGTGTTAAAACATTTCTGGTGTCTAAAAGTTTTTTTCCCCCCAAAACACATGCTTTTCCATTTTAATAAGAAACACTCTTTCATCTGCTTTGGAAAGAAACAGTTTATTACTTTGAGTACGCCAGTTTAGGTAGGTCGTAGAACAGTAACATTAGAACAGTTTTCTTGGCACTGAGAAAAAGACTTGTAAATCTGTTGCTTGTTTTGTGTTTCCTGGTATGGTAGGCACTCAACAACATTGTCAGCTATCCTAAGTGCTATACTTTTTTTTTTAGAATATCATTACCATTTTTTCTTGGGATAGAAATTGCATTTGCTTTAAATAACAACTATTCTCTGATATAAAACCTCTTTTTTAGGTACCACTGTAGCACTTATTATTCTTGCCTTGGGATTTCTACTCTCAGCCCAGGTTTCCCCACACATCACTTTCAAGCCAGTGGCTCCATCCGGTCAAAATGCTACTTGCACAAGATACAGGTGAGATATCATTATGGCACGTTTTCTTAACCTAATTCTGATAACCTTTTTTTTTTTTTTTGGTGGGAGTAGACTTTAAAAGAATTGAGAGGTAGGCACTTGCTAGGTCTCCAGACTTTGTGTGTGAAATTGTGAAAGGTGGCAAAGAAAACGGTTAGGAAGGGGAAAGCATCTTGAAAAACATGAGAGGCTAAGGAGTTAAGTAAAAAGTGAATTGTAAGAAAATTTCAGTAATGCTTCTCTGGAAGTTAAAATTGGGTATTAATATAAATAAGGAGTATAGTAAAACTGGCTTGGCTCATATATGACTTGGTGACATCTGTGGTTCAGGTGAAATAAATGACCCAAATAATCAGTCATTAAACTTACAAGATGCACACTCTCTGGCTATTCTGACAACTGCTCTTTACTGAGTTTTATGGGTCCCTTTATTTAAATGGAAAAGAAAAACCCTCACTCCCCCATACTTTGGTTCTCCCAGCAGATCAGGCACTGAAAAATGAGATTGGAAAAAACACAAACTTTTGCAGTGGCAGCTGCAGACGAAGGAGCTCATTAAGTCTAATGTGTGCACAGTGGGTGTTGAATAGATAGGGAAGAGGTGATAGGACAGGTGAGCTGAAGAAGCACAGTCAACTGATGAAAAAGCAACTGAACTATACCCTTAATATTTTTGGCAGCAGAGTTCAGCTAGCTAACTAACCCTAACTTTTTTAAAAAATGATTTTAGCAGTCCAAAAGCTATTAAAGCATATTAAAGTTCCTTTAATATGTAGGGTACACTAAGACCTACCTTTACAAATAATAGTAACAATAATAAAGTTGGATTCCTTTAGCTTTATAATAGTAACAATAATAAAGTTAGATTCCTTTAGCTTTAAGTAGATGGGCACAACCCTAAATCAGTAGATAAGTGATTTCTGAGGATAGTCCTGGGGGCATGGTTTGTGGTTATTATTCAAGGGTAGGGTGCAAAGTTGGCTGTATAAGGCCACCATTCAATACCAAGGAATACCCTCACCCAGAAAAAGTTTTATGTGAAATGAAACATGTTTCACACTTAAGCTGCCCACCGGTGTCTATGTGGAGCTTCTAGGTTAGTGTTGTTGGCAGCTTCCCATTACAACAATGTGAAAGATATTTTACATTTCCTATCCTAAATTGTTCTATTGACTTGCCTTTAGAAAATAAACGTGTATCACCTCTTTTGTCTTACTAATATGTTTACCTGCTTATTTTATTGGCTCAGTTTTATCCTGAGAATACATAAAGGTGTTGCAGTAACAAGGTAAACTGCATAGACTGTTTCAGTGTGATAGTGGTCTTTATTTGGATATCCACCTATTTGCTACAAAAACGATTGAGCTGTTTGTTTGATAGGTACTTCATGTATTTTTAACACAGTTACCTCTAACAGTCACTTAAGAATTGTTGTTTGAGCAACATAAAATATTTTCCAGATACAATGTCTCATTTTATGTTGGTATTCAGAATAAGATAGTTATTTTCAAGTAAAGCAAAGACAGAAAATAATCATCCACAGAGTATTAGAAAACATTTTAGGAATTTGTGATACACAGATGACTATGTGGAGTAGTATGAAATGTCTATAAATTTTTGATGATTGATAGAATGAAATAGTTTTTCTGATGGTGACTTTTAAAGTTGAAATAAAAGAATTATTACCTAACTATAGCTCATTGTATAGCAATTTATGATCATCTATTTATCCTTCTGATTCTTGTCTATGTTATCATTATCTAATATTTAAATATAAAATTATTAAATTTTAGCTTAAATAGCTAAAATTTATTAGCTTAAATTTATTCTTGTAGTAAAATAAATAGCCATTTTTTAAAAGCACAAACTTTAGATGTCCTTTTAAGAGTAAGAGTTATGGCAGACATTTATTACATTCCTTCCTTCAGAGTAGCATATTAGGTTTTTAAAGAATTCGATAGTATACATTTATAGTCTAAGTAATTTCATAAAATATAACTATAACCCTCTTACTGATTTTTGTTTTTTAATTTGGAAGATTTTTTGTTTTGGTTGGTTGTTTTTTTTTTTTTTTTTTTTTTTTGATACAGAGTCTCACCTGTAGTTCAGAGCAGCCTTGAACTCACTATGCAGCCCAAACTGGCCGCAAACTCTCAGGGATCCTTCTGTCTCAGTTTCTCAAGTGCTAGGATTATAGGTGTGCACCGCCACACCTGCCATGATTACGTTTTTTAAACTGTCTTTATATTTTATATTTCCTCTGTAATTAAAGGCAAACATGAAAATCTTACATAGTACGTTAAGATAAGCAGTGTCCGTGTCGTAAATGTAGTGTTTTCTCCCCTTGAAATGAAACCTAATAAAGGTGTTACTTTAGTATGCAGACCCAGGGCCTTCACACAAAGCTACATCCCCAAGCGTTTCTTTAAACTTAGAGACATATCTCATTAGGTTGCTAAGTTCTAACGAGTAAAATTCATTGCCTATGTCTATAAACTCAGCACTTCTTACTGAAATCTCTAGACTGCAATGATGAGCCTCTGATCTATTCTGATTGAAGAAAAAGGCTTATGAAACTGAATGGTTCAAGAAGTTGTTCTTCATTTGAATTCAACAAATACTGGTTGTATAAAAGGCACTATGTAGTTGAGGCTTATCAGTGACTTTGGTTTCAAGAAATTCACTATTCTAAATAGTTTCCATGAGAATTTTCTCTATTTAGAACATTTTTAAAATGATGCTATTTTATTCCAAATCATGGTTACAGTCTGTGAACTGAACATACTAAGGAACTTTTTCTGGAATTACACTTCAGCAGATTAAAATATAAAAATGCATATAAAGTGATATAATGTGCAATGCCTGCATAAAAGCCATCCTAGTGTATTGAATTAGGTTAGTAGAAATACCTCTTGTTTGGGTATCTTCTGAATCTTGTATCTCTGAGAGTATACCACACACATCTACAGTGACCTTTAGTCACATACTCTCAAATTACTAATGTCCTCTCCCCTCCATCTTCAATTCATGATATTTTCATGTGAGACCTATCCAAGTTTTGAGGAATCAGGACTTTCCTAGCTATTACTTCTCTCACTACTTGATATTTTTTATAGTATAACCTCAATATATGCAGATCACTATCATAAAATCCTTAAACATAGTCAGATATTTCCTAAACTGTACAATTACAGAATTTTAAGGTATTTTCCCCCCAGGGCTTTTTATTTTATTCCTTTAAAAATATTTGTGGAGCACCACTCGTAGCATAGTCAGGATGAATTGATAGAAGAAAAATACCTAAATTATCCTTGATGTCATTAATAAAACATCTGTCATTGGAGGAGAGATAGGACTCAGGGAAGACTGAAGAAAGTGTGTTGAAACTGAGCCCTGGAAGAGGATTGGAGCATGTACCAGAAGGAACAGTAGGTTGAAGAACTTTGCAAAGCAATAGGGAGTCTGACAAATGTGAGGAGCTGTAAGCAGGGTAATGAGATTGGAGAAGAGGAGGATTAGGCAGTTAAGACAGGTCAAAGCCAGCTTCTGCAGAGCCTTAGAGTGTTTAACCTTTGAATTCAAGAATATGAAGCCACTGAAAGATTTCAGGCAGAGGAGAGACTTTCGTGAGTTTTCCATTCTAGACTGTCGCTTTGGGCATGTGAGTCAGAAGACCTGTGTTCAGGTGGAGAGCTTGCTATGAGGGACATGGCACTTCCTGGACTATTGTGATGATTTTAGAGATAGACACATTTTCAATATATTTGAGAGAGAAAAAGGAGAATTAAAAATCAGTAACTGATAAGGATGTAGCTCAGTGGCCTACCATCTGTCTGAGAAGTGCAAGGTTGTGAGTTCAATCCCCAGCATCAAAAACAAAAAACAGTAGCTGATTAGCCATGGGAAGAGGTTTGGGATAATTCCCAATTCCTGCATGAGGAAACAGGTAGAGGAGCACATGTAAATGAAATGGGGTGATTGGGTGAGGCAAGGCAAGTTTTCATGGGTACAGTTTTAGATATGTTGAAACTTAAGTGTCATTGCACTATCTTCATTGGGGACATTGTGATGGCATTGAGATTATTGGCCTGCAATTGAAGGAGATTCTGGCATGATGAATTATTATGCCTATGTGATAATTGAAGACTTGGACATGGGGTGACATCTGGTTCATAACTAAGGTCTTTACTGAAACTCTGGCTACCTTTGCCGTTCCACCTGTAGTTCACTAGTCAAATGGACAAGACCTCTACATTATTTATGCCTTTCCCCCCCACAGAGAACCAGAGGCTATTCATGATGGAAAGCCTTTAATAAACTTAAGACTTTATTCTTACTTTTAAGGAAATAGAAATCCAGATAAGCCATGTTCTTTTTGTAGGGCACACTAACTGCTTTTTTTTTTTTCTTTCTAGACTTCTCTTGTCTGAATCCCAAATAGTCCATCATCTTTTAGCTCACACAGTTGTCAAGCATGAAAGCAGTGACACAGAGGCTTCTCTTTCTGTTCGTTTTAGACCATGTCCTTCTTGTCTTGGTCATCAAGACAATTTTATCAGTTACAATAACTTGGGCAATTTGGTAGTTTTACTAATTTAATACTGGCTGGTACATTATCGACTCCTCTCAGTTTTTAATATGTTTTAGACCCTATTTGAATAGAAATTGATCAAAAGAACTATAACTTTTAGTTTTGTTTGTGAACACCAACTTCTTTTCATTCTTAGTTTTTCTTTCTTGAACATTCTAAACCAAGAATACAAAGATAGTCCAAGTGATTTTTTTTCTAAATAGTGATATTTTCAAGTTTTCCTCTGTATTTGAAGATCCTAAACATCTAATTGACAAACTGACTTCATCTGTAAACAATTCGATGATGGTGATACTAGTTTTGGAAAATAGTGTGCTCCTTGGCAAAGGAATAATAATAACTTTGCACTACATACTGTCTTTTCTTCTGTCTCTAGCCTTGTATGATTCATCACATCTCTTTGATATGG